ATGGGCTTCTTGGGCTCTCCATAGATGTACTGCTTCCTCCCAGCATATGCTTACATCATATTTAGGAATTTCCAGATATCTTCCCCAGGGGCACAGTTGCTCTTCATGAAGATCACACTCAGGAGATTTATCAGGAGACCAGTCTTGGGTAAACCCCTGCCACCATACACCCTCCCACTGATGGAAATTTTTAGCTTTACAGGGTCATAACAAGGTCATATAAGTGATGGGTTGAATTGACTTCCTTCATACCAACTGCAAAGACAATCAGAAGTTCTTCTGAGGATCTCAGCATACTGATTTTGGTATTTTTAGTTGACAACCTTCAGCATATCTTCCTTTATAGTGGGCTGTTTCATTTTATACTTGTAGAGCAGGAACTGCTCCAACAACATAACCTGCTTGATTCAAGAGTCTCTGCATGAGTTCTCACTGGAAAGTGGAGCCTCAGCTGTACTGTTCTCTTCCTCATCTTGGCCATTGGGAACTTTATCAGATCTAGTGCAAAAGACACCTATGTAAATAGAGGTGGGTGAAGCTTTCTAAGGCCCCTTCGAAGTGCTACATGACACAGCAGTAGGTAGGCTCTCAGTAACACCTACACAAAGAGGAAATGAGGATGGAAGAGACTCTTCTGCTGCCACTGCTATTGCCTGAGTACCCCCATTACCCCGAGTCTTACCTCAAGTCTGTTGACATTTCTCATGGGCATGGAATTTACTTTTCTGATACCAAGACATGATGACTCTGGTTAGGCAGAGTAGGAAAAAGTGTGGGTGGCATGGCTAGGAATGTGGACACCTGAAGGAGGGAGAACAAGATGGTGTGAGCACCAGCAGCAGGGAGAAACTACTGTGGCTTTAACAAAAGCTACCTCTACAGGTTTCCAAGAGCACTGCTTTAGGAACCCATGGAGCTCCTGTTCTCCTGGTCAGCCTGCCTGCTGAGAACCCTGTGTATAAAGTTAGAATAAGTTTTAGGCTGCAGCCTGCCAACTCTGCCTTAGGTGTACTGACAGGGTGGCAGAGATTGGTAATGGGGGTTCTCTGTTTTGGAATGTGGGGGTCTTCTAAGTTCACAATCATAATCATCATATCAACTGTTGGTGGTCCCTGCTTCCCTTTTCTTCTGCTGTTCTGAAGTTGACACCTCAAACCAAAGCCAGCACCTCCCTGAGACCCAAGAAGATAAAGTGAAGGACCTTCTCAGTCCATCATCTCTGTCAGGGAGTACCCCACTGGGAGCTATATAGAGGTATCTCTGTCATGGGGTACTTGAGTCTTCAGTTTTCATTCAAGGAACCTACCTGATTTCCAGGTAGTACCTGGAAGACATCCCTTTTGCTAACTTGTGGATGCAACCACACACCAAATATTTCATCTGCCTTAGATTTCATATCTATCTATCTATCTATCTATCTATCTATCTATCTATCTATAGATATATAGATATATCAAGAAGTAGGGCGCAGCCTCGGCCTGATAGTCCTGACCTGGTCATTTAAGTACTGAGTACAAGGGTGGGGCAAGATGCTTTGTTATCTATTCAATGGTGGTGGTCCTCCCAGCCCTTCCTTTGTCTCTTGACATGGCACAGGGCTTCTCTATTCCTACCAGAATCTCCTGAGACTCTCTATTAAGATATGGGCACCACCTCACCTGCCTGTGGTTTTCCAAGGCTGATTTGATGTTCCCCTCCAACACCATGTTTTCACCTTATTTCCTAAAAATGTCTGGAAATTTTTCTACTGCAGACCCCAGGCCATCTACTTTAGACAAACCCCTCACCATCATTACCAATAACAACCCCTATACCATGGGAGAAAATGAGTAGAAGTCATGTAACCAGTGCACAGGCATCCCAGAGTGCCAGTAGGGCAGAGGTTCCCTCAGTCCTCATGTAGGGTGCTGATTTTGACTCCTGGCTGTATCTGGGATGCTTTTCTTTGCTGACTTGAGGATTCTTCCCTTAGACCAAGGCCCTGGCATCTCTGAGACCATCCTAGAAGAAATCAGCCTGGCCCAGGGCCTCCTAAGGTTGATGGCAGGAGCAGATTTTGTGTTACTGTACACTTCTGAGATCAGTGGTCCCCTCAGAAATCACTCAAGCTTCTGCTCTTGATTCACCAAAGAGTATGGTACTCCTTTCTTTGCTGACCTTAGCCCTCTGTCCCCTGCCTGCTCCAGGTCAAGGCCTTCAGCTCCCTGCTGTCATCAAGTGGAAAAGGAGAGCTCACATGAACTTGACATCCATGTTTGGGTTCTCAGGGAGCTGCAAATAAGGGCTTGATGGGATTTTCCACCTAAGCGTCCTCACCTTGACTACTGCTAAGGTTTGTTCCTCCTTCTCAGCTGCTCTGGGTTCACATACTTTTACCAAGACCCTCATCTTCCTGAGGCCTTAGAGGCAGAAATGAGCACACAGCTCAGCCTACCTACTCTGTTCAGGGCCTCCCAAGACCGAGAACAGGGGTCAGGCTTTTAGGGAGAGAAGGCCCAGTGCACACTTTAGAGGTGGGTGGTTCTTATTCTCATTCAGTATTCTCACCTTTCTTCCTGCCTGAGCCTGAAATCCCTCACTTGCTTGCACTTGTGCTATTGTGGGCTGCCTTAGGCCAAGTCCCTCACCTTTCTGTGACCCACAGGAGGAAGTGAGTGCTACCCAGATCCCCAGCGAATGGGTTCTCAAGGCTGACTGCAGGGGTGACATCTACAGTGCCTTCTCTGTTCTGGAGTGGGTGGTTCCCTCAGTCTCATAGAGGCTTCTCAATTTGACTCCTCTTAGAGCCTTACTTCAACAAGAGCCCTTTGCAGCAAGGCCCTGACATCCTTGGCTCCTGTTTCTTTAATGAAAAGCTTCCTGGGAAATGCCATACCCCTGAAAAATCTTGAGGAAAATAAGTCTGTGTCCAAGTGGAGTGATGTGAAATGGGGAAGCTGAAGAACAAGGCAGAAGGCCTGGGATAGGAGGTGGCTGTCAGAAAACACAAATTGATCTACCTCTCTTTGTCACTCAGACTTAATCATTCATAATCACTGGAAAATGTTAGGTGTTTAAGAAATGGAATTTATTTATGATTATTTTTATGTAGACAATACCATTCTCTTATCTGAGATTTTTTTTTAATCTAGGATATGTCAGAGAAAATGCAATGCTCTCAAACAACACCAAATAAGCCAAAAATTTGCTATAGCAAGTAAAATTAGATTTTCTCCACTAGGGCATCCATTATTTAATTTGGATGTTGGGGTTCTTCCCCATCTAGATACAATTAAGATGTTTTAGAATTTTGTTAAGGACTAACTCTTTCAGTGCATTCTAGCCACCCTTTCATTTAAACCACCTATATTTTCATTCATTTCTTTCCCATTGAAATCTAGCCCTCCATTAGAATTTACCAAATTGCGCTCATGATAATCTAATTAGAATGTCTTTTTCTAGTAGGATCTAGTTCTAGTTCAAGGTCAAAAGAAAAAGCCAACACAGTGGCTTTTGTATATCTCACTCTTATTTTGGGGACACTCCCTGGAGACAATTTGCATAGAACATGTAGCTCGTGCATTGTGTTCTACAGCACTGAGATAACACCAAATATATCTTCCACTCCTGCCTATTATGAAATGAATTTTGCAACCAACCTCAAATTCACAAGCTCAAGTCCTAACCCCCAGTACCTCAGAATGTGACTGTATTCAGAGACAAGGTATTTAAACAGGTGATTAGTTAAAATGAGGCTGTTTGAGTACTTTTACAAAATCTGCCTGATGTCCTGCAAAGAAGAGGTTAGGACACACTAGGAAATACCAGGGATGCACACACACAGAAGAACAACCATGTAAAGAGGCTGCAAGCAGGAAGCTTTCTGCAAGCTGAGAGAGGCCTCAGAGGAAGCCAACCCTGCTGGCATTTTGATCTTGGACTTCCAGCCTCCAGAATTGTGAGAAAATAAACTTTTGTTGTGTAAGCCACTAGTCTAAATCTAAAGATTTCTTTCTAGATTATCTATGATCCCAAAGGAATTCATAAGAGCATGTTTTAGTGGTGAGGAAGGATTTTCCACATTATGGTTATGTGGTATTTAAACACACGATACTGGGTACTGTACAGATGAGGTCAACAGCAGTTTATTAATCACATATATTCACAGGGCAGGGTAGCAGTACACCACATACCATACAGGGTCACACAAGGGTTGCACTCAGGAACAGAGTGAATGAATAAGGTCTCTGGGAGGCAGGATTTGTAGACAAGAGGAAAATGTGATGTCTAGTTCACATGGGAAGATGTGATTGGCTTGTGTGAATAATTTGAAGGCTGCCAGGGAAAGAAAACAAGATCTGTGCCTGGTTCTGTTAATAAAGATGATTGTTTGACTAGGGACCTAATCTGCAAGTGCATAGTGTAGAGAGGAATTTCCAGTTAGGCCATTTGAAAAATCTAGGGCAGTATATAGTATTAGGTCTTGATTTGGGGCTTTATAATACAGTGCAGTTTTCCATTAAAGGGTTTTCTCTCTCAACTTTGAGACACATCATCTGAGGGTTCTGACCTCTGCTTACCAGTTTCATAGCCTCATCTAACATCCCAATGCAGCTAATTTTAAAAGTTTCAACACATTGTTTGGCTTTCAGTTTCCCAAAACTCAAACTGCCTTGCTTCATGAAATTTATGCTTTACTGCTCTCAACTGGAATGTTCCCTTCTCACTAATCCTTTCTACTTTCCTGTAAGTCATAGAGGATTGTTCAACATTTACTTTATATGACTACAGCTTTTAGCCTCAACGATTCTATGGGCAGAAGCTGGGTCTTTATCTGAGCAGCTCCAGTACTGTCACTGAACCTTCCAAAGACCAGATAATTAAATGACGTTTAGGGAATGTGAGACAACATGAACAAGAGATCTAACTTATAAAGATTTAATTTCTCCTACATTTTTAACAAGCTAAACATATCAAGGTATAAATCATTTAATTTTACAAAACAAAAGACTGAATGGAATGAGGAAAACCAAGATTGATCATGTTTTATAATTTTTTTCTATTTCATCATCTCAATTATTTTACTGGAGGTTCTTTTGTATTTCAAAAAACAATCCCTTTTGGTGATGTTATATTTGCTTGACTGGATGAGAAAACTTCAGACTTCAGTAGGGTTGGGAGAAGCTGTTGAACTTGGCCTCAAAACAGTCTTGGCCACTGCAGTAGTGCCAGTCTTGGCTGCAATTCTGGCTTGGGCTCTTTCTTCCTCATCCATCAAAGCCTCTTCATATCGTGAAGAGAAGGTACCTGGAGCAATATTACTGACCTTGGCCAAATATTCCAAGACTTTCATCTTGCTGGTTTCACTATAGGCTCTTGTAACCCACAGGGATTTATAGTGTGCGGGACAACTGCTGGGCACCTGACAGTACTCCAGGTACTTTAGCTTCACAAAATCCTGAGTGATGAGCTTCCTGGGCTCTCCATAGAGGTAGTACTTCTTCCCAACACATATCTGCATCATATCCAGAAATTGCCAGGTATCTTCCTCATTGGCACTGTTGCCTTTCAGGAAGATCACACTCAGGAGAGTCATCAGGAGACCAGTCTTGGGTAACCCTTTGCCAGCATGAATCCTCCCATTGTTGGGGAGTTTCAGCTTGCTGACAAGGTCATATAAGTGATGAGTTGGGTTGACCTTCTTCAAATCAACTGCAAAGACAACCTCAATGTGCTCAGATACTTTTCTGAGAATCTCAGCAAACTGGTTTTGGTATTTTGGGCTGACAATCTTCAGCATATCTTCCCTCAAAATAGGCTGTTTCATTTTGAACTTGTAGAGCAGGAACTCCTCCAACAAACCCAACTTCTCACAAGTGTGGAGCTTAATCTTCTGATCCTGAGACATGATGATTCTGATAAAGGATAGCAGGCAGGAGAATGAATAGTAGAACAGATCAAGATGGCCCACTGGAGGTGGAAGGTTGAGAGGTGGAAGGTCTGTGCACCTTCAGTGTGGAAATTCCACCATGGTTATAATGAAAACAGCATGCAGTTTTCCATGATGGAACTGCTCTAGACACTCACTGGGATTCTGTTCTCCTTATTAGTGTGCCCCTTGAGAAACCTTTGGAAGAAGTTAGATTGAACTGTAGGGTTGAGCTTGGAAGCCCTGCCTCAGGAATATTAAAGTGACATAGTGGCTGCCAGTCTTCTGAGTTGAGGGGTCCTTTTACTTCACATTCAAGACAATCATGCCAACTGGTGGTGAGTCATGAGAACCATTTTCTCTTTAGTTATACCACAAACCTCCCTGGGACCCATAAGAAGGATGCGAAGGGGGTCCTCAGCTTATCACTGCTGTCTGGGTGCCCACAGTGCTGACTGCTGAGTGGATAATTTTCTGTCCCGGCCTTTCTGTTATCCTCAGTTCTCTCTTGGGGTCCTTACATTGGCATATAGGGCCTAGGAGCCCAACTCCCTTCATTTTAATGGTGACTACTATACCTTTAGACTAAGGATGTCACCTCCCATAGACCTGACATAAAGAAGTGGTGGAGAGCTTCCACTTCACAACTCTGCCCTGGCCCTTCAAGCGCTGAAACCAGGGTAGGGCCAGATTCTTTTTTAACCCTTTTATTTAGTGGTTGATGGTTCCTTCAGCACTTGATTTGACCTCTGGCATGCTCTGAAACTTCTCCTTCCCTTGTTCTAAGGCCTATTCCCTCATACTAAAGACAAAATGACCCTGAAACCTTCACTAAGGGGAATGTGACCGTCTTCTTATCTGCTCTCATTTGTTCTTACCTGTCCTTGTTCTTCCAAGGCTGAGAGCAACAGTTGGATTCTGTGTGTTCCCATTCATAGGGTATGTGGTCCCCTCAGTTATTAGGGTATGCACTGTGGCCTCTGAAGAAACCTGGAAATCCCCTAACTGCCGACCTTAACTCGCAATCATTAGACCAACTTCCTTACTTGCTTGTGACATCATATGAGGAAGTATGCCACATCATGTCAACAATGCAGATGTATTCCAGGGCTGCCAGTAATAGTGGGGCTCTGTGTGGTTCTCTTAGTTCTGAAGGTGGAAGGTTTCCTAAGTCCTCACTAGGGACCATCACCTTAACTCATGGCAGGGCCTTGGACTCTTTTTGTTTACTTGGGACCGTCCCCTCAGACTAACCCCTCACATCTCTGAAACCTTTCTTGTGGAAGACAGCCTGACAGCTCTGCCCAAGGCCTCCCAGGGTTGATGGCAGGGGGAGGTTCTATGCCACCTCCCTGTTACAGGGTCTGTGGTCCCCTCAGTCATCACTCATGATTCTGCATTTGATTCCTCGCAGGGCATGAATATCTCTTTTTATTGTCAGAGTCTCAAAGCCTTAGACCAAGATTCCCACTCCTTGAGGCCCCAGAATGAAAATAGGAAATGCCACGTGAGGCCACCTCTATCTATGCTCTCCCAGGGATTACATCAAGATTCAGGCTCCTTGGGGCTCTGTGGAGGATAGAGGTCTTCCCTCAGTCCTCACTCAGGGTCCTCACCTTGACTCTTTGCAGGTTTTGAGTTTCTTCTTTCAACTATAGGTCACTCATGTAGACTAAGGCTCTTATGTTCCTGAGAACACTGAACAATAAGTGAGAAATAGCCTAACAGCCCTGCTTCAGTCTTCCAGGTCTAAAAGAAGACACAGTCTGATCTCCATTACTCTGTTTACTATGGGGTATTTGTTTCTTTAGTTGTCGTTCATCAGAGTCTTCATCTTGATTTCTACACTTTCTATTAGAGGCTTCTGGAGAAATGCCACACAATTAATTCCAAACTCTTCATTAGTTTTCCCTCCGTAAATGTTGCAGAGAATAGGATGTGTCCTAAGAATGATATGAGATGAGAAAGTTGAAGCACAAAGCAGAAAGCACTGGACAGGTGTGCCTTCAGAGAAAAAAGAAATTGCTGATACATCCCTTCTTGTCACTAGGCAGACTTCGCTTCTTATGTAACTTCTGTTCAAATATATCTACTTTCTACAGTGAGGAGGCTGAGTCAAATGATTTTGTGAGTCCCTAGTATTTTGAGGTTTCTGACATTGACATTGCATATAATGATATTGTCAACAAATATCTTTCTTTAGTCACACCTTGCATTCATTTTGGTATTTTTATTGCTTATTCCTTGGGCTATGTATCCCAAAGCAGTATTTGGGGTTTGAAGTCTTGCTTTGTATCACCTGAGATATGTTTTGAAGTAGTGAGCAGGAAATAAGTAACACAAGGTCTGCCTCAGGCTGGAAGAAGTGGAACAGTGTGGACTCTAGAGAAATTCAGATCCAGGGTCTAGTCTAGTTCTCTCACTTACCAGTCTTGTGAACTTGAGAAAATTGTAAGTTTTTACCTGCAAAGTCAATTTGATAAACCCCATCTTATGCCATCTTATAGAATTTAGGCATGTATATACTGTATGTAAATCACCTGACATGGTTTTAGGCAAAGATTGGGTCCTTAATGAATGGTAATTATTACTAAATGTATTTTGACTCAAGATGATAACAATCTTCCCTCACAGAATTTTATTTCCATAATGTATTAGAGAATACTCCAACAACATAGAAATCTACATCTGCTGAAATGCTGTCAAGCCAGTAAAACTGAGTAGTGTTTCCTCATTAGAGCATCTGTTATTTAATTTGGCTGTGGACCTGCCTTCTTCAGCTGGAGGCAACTCAAAACTCCTTTTTTTGTGGTAGGAACCAGAAACTTCCCAGGTCACTTTTCCATCAAATTGCCCCTATTTTTATTCACTTCATCACCACCAAAAACCATGCCCTCTCTTAGAATTTGAAAAATTACAGTCAAAGTAACCTAATTCAAATGTCTTTTTAATGGAGCAGACTCTGGCTTTCCCAGCCTATGACAAGGGTGATGGTTCAGTGGCCTCTTGGCATTTCATGTAAAGGAAGTATCACTCATATTTCTCAGAAACTCCCTGGACATCATGTGCCTGGAAGACACAGTGTGTGAACTGGGCAACTGCACAGGTCTCTTTCCCTTCCTATCCCAGTTGGGGATTTCTTTCCGGTATACCTACAGTGTCAAAATAACTTTTAAGACTTGCTTTCCATCTCAGGGGTAGTCTCTCACCTCTGAGAGGTACCATCTGAGGGCCAGGCCCATGCTCACCACTCCCACAGCCTCATGCAGCCCAACCTGCAGCTTCCCTTAAATTAACTCCCATCAAGAGACTTGCCGTTTTCTAATACTCTGAACTGCCTTCATCAGATAGCTTACATTCGACTATATTCATGTAAAATCATCTCTTCCTTATTCCCTCTTTTTAATTCTCATTTATGTCTTAGATGGAATCTCATCATCTTCCTTATATATTAGTTGCTGTTTGACTCTAAAATTCTACAGGCAGAAGCTGAATCTCCTTTTCCTTACTGTCACTAGTACTATCAGGAAGACTTCTAAACAGCAGGTACTCAATTACTTGTTGGGAAACAATAATTAAAATATAATAAAAACAGTAAGCAGGAAGTCTAATTTATTATTTAATTTCTCATCCAGTTTGAATAAACAAAGTAAATACAGGTTTATATAATTTAATATTACAAGCAATGAGCAAATAGTCTAGGAAAAAACACAGATTTACCACTCTACATTTGTTTCACTATTTTGTGATCTCAACTATTTTGCTGTTGGGTTCTTTCACATTTCCATGAAGATCTCTATTTCAATGCCACATTACCTTATTCTGTACTAAAAATAAAGTGTTTTAAAATAACAAACCTTTTAGTCTTAAACCTGACAAACAGAAATAAATGTGTGATCTATGACATTAAGAAACTTAGATTGTGAAACAATTTAAATCTTCACTTAAAAGAAAGAACATTTGTAAAATAATAATGAAAACAAAAGATAAATCTACAGGTTACCCAGGTATAACTGGAAAAAAGAAAGATACACATCTTGTTCCCTCCAGCATCTACTATGCTGTACTACTTAAATGGCTCACTACTCTCTTCTAACATAAAGTGAACATTCTACTTCAGACCTCCCTATAGGATGTGGGAGGATCTATAGGATGTGGTCCCATAAAGTGCCCTGGCCAAGGGAACAGTGCCAGCTCTGTGTGCAGCTCTCAGGCTCATTGTTCTCTCTACCTCATCTGTGAAAGGCTCTTCATGCAGATTTGGGAAGGAAATGGGGAGAGTATCATTGATCTTGGCCAAAACTTACAGGACTCTCATCTTGCTGGTTTCAGAATGGGCTCGTGGAACCCAAGGGAACTCATAACCAGGGGATCACTGTTGTGCACCTGCTGGTACTCCAGGTACTCTTCTCGCACCAAATCTTCTCTGATCAACTTATGGGGCTCCCCAAAGGTTATAGGCCTCCTCCCAGCATAGATTGCCACTGCATACAGGAAGCCCCAGACCTCCTCTTCAGTGGCATAATTGATTGCCTTTACTGAAGATCACACCCAGGAGTGTCGTCAGAACATCTGTCTTCAGATCTTATCACCACTCAGACTTCCTTCACTGGAGAGGTCCACCTTGCTGACAAGAATGTAGGAGTTGCTGCTGGAGTCAATTTCTTTCCACTCAACACCAAAGACAACTTTCAAAAGCTCAGAGGTTCTCCTGAGGATCTCAGGGAAGTGCTGCTTGTACTGTCTGCTGACAAGCTTCAGCAAATCAGCCTTCAAAATAGACTCTTTCTTCTCATACTTCACCAGTAGGAATTGCACCAACACGCTTAACAACTTCCTGTTCAGAGGATCTCAGTATGTGCTCTGAATGAAGGCTCTTTTCTGGCAGCTGCTTGCACTTTTCTCACCTTGACCCTTGGCAGCTACATCAGATTTTAAGCATGAAACACCTGCATCAGGAGAGCCAGTGAGTGAAGCTCCCTGAGACTCCTGAGGAATAGAGGCATCAGGAGACCTACAACAAGCACCCCAACAATAAGGACAAAAGACAGAGGAAGAGCAGGTCTCTTCTTGTTTCTCTTCAGTGGCCTGGGGACTTGTGAGACCTTGCAGCTGACCATGGGTCTCTCAGCATTTCTCACAGACACGAAGGTTACTCTTCGGACCCCAAGGCATGATGGCTGTGACCTGTGACAGCAGGTAGGAGTGTGGGCAGGAAGGCTGGCACCTTGACCAGAGAGAGTGACATCACATCGACACCTTCAGCAGACAATAACCATCTTGACTTTAACCGGGGCCCCTTCTACAGGTTTCTGAGAAACAACTGCTCTAGGAACTCACAGGACTCCCATTCTCCTGGTCAGTTTGTCTCCTTCGAACTCAGGAGGAAGTTAGAGTGAGTGTTAGACTATAGCATGACAGCCCATTTTGGGGCTTACTGAGGTGACAGCAGGGACTGGCAGTGGGGGCCCCTCTGTTCTGGATTCTCTCTATTTATATTCAGGATCATCATAAAAATTGCTGGCAAGACCCAGAGACCCATTCTCCTCTGCAGCTCTGACACTGACACTAGGAATTTTTACAATACTAGTGAGGAGAAAATAAAGGAGCACTTCTGCCCAACACTGCATTCTGGGGACACCCAGACTGCCTAGGGCCAAAAACTGGGGGGACATTTGAGTGCTCTTGCTGTTTTAGTGAGAATTGTCCCCACAGTAATCAGACTCCTCACCCCGACTCTTCCCACAACCTGGAAGTCGCCCTCACTGACCTGCTGCCATCTCCTTACGACCAGGGCCCTACTTCTCTGACGCTCACGGGAACAAAGTGAGAATACACTTCAGTCTCTAGAGACCTGCCAGGACCGCGTACTGACATCAGCAGCAGACTTCGGTGTCACCCCTTTCTGGGGAATGGAGTTCCCTCACTCTTAAGGAGGGTTCTCTTTTAACTATGGAGTGCCTGAGATTTCTCTCTCTACTGACCTGAGTCCACCAGCCTTGGACTGAGGCCTTCATGCTCTTCAACCCGACAGAAAAAGTGAATGCATTTGGGCCTAACAGCCATGCTTGCGGACTCCTCAGGGACTGACTTGGGTGGGATGGGACAGGGCTCTGTGGAGAACACAGACCTGGTTGGCTTTTCCATGTGCTTAATGTAGAACTCCAAGGCTTTGAGGAAACATGGGCA